ATCCACTCCATTTCGGTAACCATTTTGGGTTTGAGTACAGATGACAATGAATTTCCGAAACCAGTTATAGGGGTCGGACCCGGAATTCCTCGTTTACTCCAATAATTATATTGTTTTCTCATATACCTATAAAATGGGAGTACGTCAAACTCACAAGTATTAAAAAATCATAGAATATAATAATTATTATTAAAAATAAAAACTATCCCAGGACATGTCCTCAACTTATTTAAAATTATGTAACCTTTGTCTACATCCAAGTCATTGCAGTTCATAGAACTCATGTTATTTCAATGATAAAATGAGGATATTATTTCTTAAAGTTTTTACCCAAAATTCCCTTTTAAAACCATAAGTAAAAATATATTTTATCTTAAAAATCTAGTGATCCATGAATTATCTCGCAAATTCCCGAAACACGCCCGAACTGTATTTGAAAATGTTTGATTTGTTATATCTACACTGTAACCCCGGCAACAGTTTTCTGGTCATAACTTTGACATAGAGGTCACAGGTCAAATCTAGTCAATTCAAATGAAATATCACAAAATCCACGTTTCTGGTTTAAATGTGAAGGATAGAAAAAATTATCTTTGTATATTTTTCTTAAGATTATGCTACTCTATTTTGAAACCGAGTTTATATTTATACGCATAAACAAATTAATTGTAAATATTATATAAAAAGTTTTAATTACTGACATTTCGAGACCTTATCTATATAGTTGCTATTTTTATTTTAATAATATTATCAAAGATTTTTACTCACAAATAAATTAGTAATCCGGCAGTAATTAGCCCGGTAATAAGCGACGAGTATGTCAATTCCATTTCAATTCCGTGTTAAGTACTTAACACTATGTTTAGTAAAAATTACGATAAACTTATTCTCAATGTTGTATTAAATAATATTCTAAGTTTATATAAAATTTATCTTTTATAACTAAACCAATCACAGTAATTTATAAACACTAACAGGATAGTGTTATTGGAGAAATTAAAATTGCGAGATGATAATGCAAAATACACGCAAACAAGTAAATTTATTACTTGCAAATTTTCTGTCTGTTAAAGTTTGCTAATAGTTAGAGTGACTCGGTTGCGTAAATAATGTTTCATCTAAATACTTTATAATTTACCATTATTTATTAAATAATAATAATGAATTTATAATTTATTAAACTTTAAGATTTGGGTACTTTATCAGTACTTGTAGTGTATAGAATAAAGCATATTCATCGAGTTACAAAATTGAGTAGCATGCACACCTCAATGATATACTGTATGCGATCCTAACTTTATGCCCTAGTTACAGATGACTTTTAATTTTACTTCATAGACACTGTGTATTGGTCAAAACTGAACAGTTTGTATTATTTAGTGCTAATTCTTAATCCCATTGGTTTACCTTTGATCGCTCGCAGTGTACTATGAAAATAAATTTTGAGATTAAGAATTAGTATTGAATGATAAGTACTGTCCAGTTTTGACAAGTACACTGTGAATATGAATGTTTAGATCAATCATTAGATAGTCATTCGAGAGACTAGTAATAGTCATCTGTTACTAAGGCATAAAGTTAGTGTCGCATATCATTGAGGTGTGCATGCTACTCAATTTTGTAACTCGATGAATATGCTTTATTATATACACTACACGTACAGATAAAATACGCAAATCTCAAAGTTTAAAAATGACTCTCAAGTAATTACTAAACGCGCAAAATATATTTTGGTAAAATTTCCCCAAAAAGTTATTAAATAACGGTTTATCACAGAGTTTTCATTTAACATTTAATCTTAAATTATAACTTATAAATTATAAATTAAACTATGGATCTAAAACAAACAGCCCTTTAAGATGGGTCAACTTATTAGTAGTAATTGTTATACTTTTAATAAGATCATATGTGGTCTTTTTACTCAAATAGGAGACTTTAACTATAACTAAAACTCAAATTTAATCTTTAAAAGCATATTAAACATTAGTTTTAATGAAGCCACATACGTATAAACTTCTTTAATCTTTAATCTAGTCATAGTTAAAGTCTCCTATTTGAGTAAAAAGACCACATATGGAGAATAGCACATTGAATCAGCTTTTATTTAAAACCACTAACGCCCCTCTGGTTATGATTTAGACATACTGTATATAGTTATTAATACACAATAGATATAAAATTGATATTCAAATTGATATTGTATTTTATTAACATCCAAAAAATAATGTATATCTAGTCACTATTATTATATTGTAATTAAATCTAGAATCTCGAAAATATTAAATAATATATTTTTACAACNATTGATATTGTATTTTATTAACATCCAAAAAATAATGTATATCTAGTCACTATTATTATATTGTAATTAAATCTAGAATCTCGAAAATATTAAATAATATATTTTTACAACTAAAAAAATTAATGAACCATAAATTGAAAATAAAACAAAAGATTTAAATATTATCACACAATTACATAATGATAAATTATCATTGATAATGACATTATTATATAGGTGACAATAAGATTGATCTTGAATATGATATATTTATTTTTAAGATTATATTTCAAATAAAATACAGCAAATAAAAATTACCATTATATAATTAATAATCATTAAATTGTTAAAAATTAATCCATATTAAAAATGATATCATTCGGCAATTTCTGGCCTAATTAAATTACCAAACTCTTTTTTGCAAAATTAATATAACGACTATCATTCTAACATTTCTTATTAAATATTATCTTGATTAGCGAGTACAGTGATATTTATAATAAAGTGCATAACTCTCTCGAATGACCTAATTATAAATTAACCTACTTTTTTAAGTTAAATTATTTATCTGTTAAATGGATCTACATTTAATACTTATTGCTAAACTTGCTACAATTGTTTTTAAAAAATGCTGTGTCCATAAACAGGGTGGATATTTGTTTACAAACTTTTATACAAAATAATTATATTTCTAAACATTTTGCTTTCACCATAAATCGGTCTAAATCTAAATTTGGTTAAAGATTAGGTCAACTGATAGGTAGGTTGAAAGAGCCGAATACCGTTCATCACTCCAATAGGTAGCCGCCATCGCACACAAGTGTACTCCCGGTTACGAAACTTGAGTCACGCGACGCTACAAACAGTAAAATAATTTAACTTAAAAAAGTAGGTTAATTTATAATTAGGTCATTCGAGAGAGTTATGCACTTTATTATAAATATCACTGTACTCGCTGGACTTTATGACAGATATAATGTATTCATATTTATGTAGTACATTAATATTTGTTAATAGTATTTTCAATGAAAATTAAAAATAATGTTTAATAATACAGTTTAATAAGCAATTACTAGATTGTATTGACTCGCACGCCATTGTTGGCCAACTCCAGTGCCAAGCATTTGGTGAACATATCTAACGCACACTTTGACATATAGTATGGAAACGCGCTGACAGTCTATGATAAAATATATAAAAGGCAAACATACAGCACATCTGTTAAACAAAATAAATTTAATTTTAAAAATCTATACTCACAATCTTGAAACCATAAAGTTATATACTTTACATTTTTATATACGGTATGTAACTTTATTTTCTGAATGATATTAAATATTTAATATACAGTATATTCTAATCTAATCTATAAATTAGTATAATTTATGACAAATAAGTTTAACGACTATTTTAAATACCGGTTTTACTGCCGACGGCGTAGATATGTTGACGATATTACCGCCAGTTTTGACCAAATGTGGGACACATAAGTGAGTCAACAGTACAGTTGAGCGCAGGTATGTGTCCATAATACCGTCGTATTTGCCCATAACACCCTGGTCACTTACCGCGCATATAACACACCTCCAGGCGTTGTTCACCAATACGTCGAGTCGCGTGAATGTGTCGATTGTGGTGGCAATGAGTCGCCGACAGTCCTCTGAGACACTCATATCCGCCAACACTTCCAACGCTTTAAGACCTTTGGGCGAAACTTCCCGACACTGTTTGGCCACATCTGCTACGCGCTGAGCGTCCCGACCGGTGATCACCACTTGCGCGCCATTTCGGGCGAACTCTATTGCAGTGCGTGCACCGATACCACTGCTCGAGCCGGTGATCAGCACTACTTTGTTCGCAAAGTCTCTCGTATACGACATAACTTTTTTTGTAATAATAAGTTATTTGTAAAATAAAACTATAAATTTCTGCTTATATCACATAAATGGAATTATATGAAATTATATATATATGCAAAATTAGCTTACTCAACGTTGGTAACAGAGATGTTGGTAAGGTAGTTGATCAAAAGACCTAATGATCAAAAGACCTAAAATTGATGAAAAGACCTAGAGGATCTAAAGATAAGGGAATATCGGATTGAAGTCGGGTTTTTTTCATTTTTGCATCCGATATTCCCTCATAGAGTTGTTTTTGTTTTTTTAAATTGCAAAAAAACCGACTTCAATCCGATATTCCCTTATATAGTCATCTTTTGTTCAAAATTAGGTTTTTTGATCAATTTTAGGTCTTTTGATCATTAGGTCTTTTGATAGGGAACCCTTGGTAATTATATTTTAATAATACTGTACTGTATTCACAAATTAACTATAATAATATAAATGTTTGCTAAAAAATGACAATATACATGAAATTATTTTAGTTGTTTATTCATGTAAACTTGTTTTATTCTCAATGTGGCCAAAACTAACCTATAGCCTATATGTTATAATGGATATAGGCTAGTTTTTGGCCAGATTGAGAATAAAACAAGTTTACGTTCACGCATGTAGCGTTAATACTGTAGTTGTAACATATGATTGCAACATTGGTCTTATAACCCACATTTTGTACCACTGTACGTAAAAGCGAATTTTATATTAATCATGCATAGTTGCCTAATTCGTCATGATACAACCATTTTTTAATATTTCAAAATATTATAAAATTCCAATAATAAGTATGATATTACTAACATCTAGGCAACTTTTATCAGTACTGTAAATTACAAAACTTATGCCCAATTTGAATATGATTTCCGTTATCACATACGCGGCTCTTATTGGTATCACTCATACGCTCGCAAAACAATTGCCGCCAAATGTTATTGTTTTGTTGGCCGACGACATGGGTTGGGCGGACGTGGGCTACCACTCCGACCACATACTGACCCCCAATATCGACACACTGGCCGCCGATGGCGTAGTGCTGAACCAGTACTACACGCATCCGGTGTCGTGTCCGAGTCGGGCGGCCCTACTCACAGGCGTACACCCCATACACACCGGACTACAAAACTCAGTCATCTATAACCAGTCGCCCACTGGGCTGCCCCTACACTTCAAACTCTGGCCCCAGTATCTCAAGCCTTATAATTATGCCACACATATTGTCGGTAATGTGTTAATTAAATTAACTTAAATTAAAGGATTATTAAAAACAATTAGTGATTTTTTGCCTATATAGCACTTAATTTTTATGCTTTAAAAAATATAATTTTTAATTATAGAATATAGTCCTAACATTTAAGTAACTTGTTTCAAATTAAATAACTGACTAGAGCAAATTTTTTAAAATATTAATTTATTTGAAATAATGATAAAAATTTTATATTGCTAGGAAAATGGCATCTAGGTTTCTCACGGCGTAACTACACGCCCACCTACCGGGGCTTTGACTCTCACGTGGGCTACTGGACCTATAATAAGGAGTATTACAGCGACATGTCGTTCGACGTATACGGGGTGTCGGGCCGCGACTTTCGGCATAACATGACACTCACGACCGATGCGAACGGTGTTTATTCGACCGACTATTTCACCGATATTTGCGTCGATATCATTGGTTAAGATTTTCAATAAATTATTTAATATTAATTGTTATATCCTTTTTATTTGTTAATAATATATAGATAAACACAACGCCAAAGAAAATACTAGTGTTTTGAATAGTAAATAAGTTTGGTAATATTATAAAACACTATTTTGACGATTTAAAAAATTTTGGACGTCTCTGGCCTAGGTATTTTTTGCTAATTTATTAGCTAAATGTATAATATAAAAATCTTAATAAAAGTGGGCAAATTAATTGACTTGGATGACAGACCAGTATCATCATTACTTGGAAATCAATATTGAACTTATCAACTACATTAACACTAAAAAACAGTTTGTACGACAATTTTTACAAGCTTAATCTTTTAAAGTTCAGAAACGCTGATTTATACTGTAGTTGTAACAAATGATTGCAACATTTTTTAGTACGTTAAAGGGGATTTAATGTTAATCATTCATAGTTGCCAAATTCATCATGATGCTACAATTCTTTAATATTTCAAAAATATAATATCGCACTAATAAGTATAATATTACTTACATCTAGGCAACTTTTATCAGTACTGTAAATTACAACACTTATTTCAAATTTAAATATGATTTCCGTAATTACATTCGCGGCTCTTATTGGTATTACTCATACGCTCGCCAAACAATTGCCGCCAAATGTTATTGTTTTGTTAGCCGACGACATGGGTTGGGCGGACGTGGGCTACCACTCGGACCACATACTGACCCCCAATATCGACACACTGGCCGCCGATGGCGTAGTGCTCAACCAGTACTACACGCATCCGGTGTCGTGTCCGAGTCGGGCGGCCCTACTCACGGGCGTACACCCCATACACACCGGACTACAAAACTCAGTCATCTATAACCAGTCGCCCACTGGGCTGCCCCTACACTTCAAACTCTGGCCCCAGTATCTCAAGCCTTATAATTATGCCACACATATTGTCGGTAATGTGTTAATTAAATTAAATTAAATTAAAGAATTATGGAAAATAATTATTGTTTATTTGCCCATATAGCACTTAATTTTTATGCTTTAAAAAATATAACTTTTAATTATAGAATATAGTTCTAACATTTAAATAACTTGTTTCATATTAAATAACTGAACAGAGCAATTTTTTTAAATATTAATTTATTTGAAGTAATAATAATTTTATATTTCTAGGAAAATGGCATCTAGGTTTCTCACAGCGTAACTACACGCCCACCTACCGGGGCTTTGACTCGCACGTGGGCTACTGGACCTATAATAAGGAGTATTACAGCGACATGTCATTCGACGTATACGGGGTGTCGGGCCGCGACTTTCGGCATAACATGACACTCACGACCGATGCGAACGGTGTTTATTCGACCGACTATTTCACCGATATTTGCGTCGATATCATTGGTTAAGATTTTAAATAAATTATTTAATATTAATTGTTATATCCTTTTTATTTGTTAATAATATATAGATAAACACAACGCCACCTATCAGCCACTTTTTCTATACGTTCCCTACCAGGCCGTGCATGTGTTCCAAAAGGCCTCCGCGTCGGCGCCCCAACACCTGATCGACATGTTTGACATGTTTGACAATATGTCGGACGCCCGGAGAACTATGGCCGCAATGATCTACTCGCTCGACGAGTCCATCGGACGTATAGTTGAAAGGTTGTACTCGAAGGGTATGCTTGAGAATAGTATCGTAGTATTTATGAGCGATAATGGTGGTTTTCGGAAAGGTAAATAAATGACCATGATATTATAAATAGGTATATGTTCATTTTACCCTAGGTGGCAGCTCAAATTGGCCACTAAAAGGTGATAAGACGGAATTATTTGAGGGATGTAAGTTATGCCACAATTACCGAACCTAACCTAACTTAACTAAACCTAACCTAACCTAACTAAACCTAACCTAACCTAATAGTATTAAATAATTGATTATTTATTAGCCATACGAGTGCCGGCAATCATATGGAGTCCATTACTTCGCAAAAGTGGTTACATTTACGACAATCTCATCGATGTGTCCGACATATTGCCTACAGTTCTGGAGGCCATAGGCGATAGTAAAGGACTTAATGGTCAATTAAATATATATGGTATGTATACTAAATATTGCATATATTTAAATATAATATCTTATGATAATTAATCATGGTATTGAATAAGGTGTGTCCCACTGGCACTCGTTGTCGACTGGTGAGGGTCAGGTGCGCCGACAGATTATCCATAACATCGATCCCGTATGGAATATGTCGGCCATTAGATGGCACGACTGGAAACTGGTTAGGAGTGCCAAATGGGTGGGCGATAACTACGACAGCGATCTTAATTATGATCGCCAAACACAACCTATGAACGTGACCGATAAAATGATCATGTTCAAATCTTTAATAAATAGATACCGCGAGAATTCCACACTATTCAAGGTATTCTAAAATATTAAAATGGCTAGTCACTTTAAATAATATATTTATTTACACTCCATAAATTAAGTATTAAATATTATATGAAATGAAATAGGTAAAATAAGAATGCAAGATTTTTTCTGATTTAAATTAACATGCAACCATTTATAAATTTTTTCATTTAATTCTTAAGTAATAAGCCTATTTTAAATAAATTGTTTTATAACATCTAAAAACTGTAAATCATAATTATATTAATTTTAAATTTAATTTTACAAATAATATTACTTTTTTAATTAACTAGGTATTTAAACAAATGAATAAACATCCAAATTATGACAAACTAAGAGATACTGGGGTTACGTGTCATAAATGGCTGACGGATGACAACTCTATAATTGAATGCCCAACTGGTGAACTATGTCTATATAACCTCCGTAACGATCCCTGCGAATACTATAACTTGATGGGGGAAATGGATCACCAATTCGTAAGGTTCTTGTGGCAAAAGTTGGTTGACTTTAACAGTACGTCAGTACCGCCCCTATCCCTGGTTCCGTTGGATGATAGGTCTAACCCTATCCATCATAATAATACATGGGTTAACTGGCTAGATGATGAGCTAGGTGATAGCGTATTGATACATGATAAGCACCAGAAAACTGAGTTATAAACTATTGAATTGCTTTAAAATTAATAGTATCTCAACAATAATATGTAATCGTTGAATTATTTTATTTCATATATAATAATTTTAATATTATTAGCAAATACTGTAATTGGCTGTATGTTAATAATTACTCTTGACTAATTGTTTGTTGTTGCTACATTTGTTCTAAAATTTAATCTGGTTTATATGACAATATAAAGAAATAGCAATAGTATCTATGTGCTATGTTTAATTAGTCTTGATAACTTTTATAACACGTAACACAATACTCGACGGCTTATGGACCTCTTGACGATTCATCAACGGCACCGGTGCGTCCGGTTTGCCAACCACCTCGAGCGTAAAACCCTTAATTATGTGTGCCACGGCTATTTTCAATTCGAGCATGGCGAATCTACCAGCTACGCAATTTCGCGGTCCTATACCGAATGGCATATACATGGTCGGCTTACAATCGGTCAGAAAACGATCAGGATAAAAGTGTTCCGTGTTCGGGTAGTATCCTTCCTGATGGTGTATGGCGTAAACGGGCACCTCCACCTTCTGACCCATTTTGATGCCAATCCCTGTGCCGGGCAGTGTGTAGTCCCGGGTGGCCGTACGGATTACGCGATGAAAAGGCGCGTGAAGTCGGAGGGTCTCCGACAAAACGGCGTCCAAATATGGCAGTCTTGTCAACGCCTCGTAACCAACGCTCCCATTGGTGTCGACTGAGGCGGCGACGATCTCGTCGCGTAGCCGCCGCTGAACGTCCGGATTGCGGGCCAACTCGTACGCCACGAACGACAGGGTTGTGGTAATGGTTTCGGTGCCCGATATGAATAATAGCCACCCATTGGACGCCACCTCACCTTTGGTCAGATACTTACCGGTTGATTGGGTAGGCAATCCACTCGTGGTATCTGTGATTTAATAGTAAATAGCGGTCGTAATAATTAAAATGGTGTCGAGTTAAATAATACTTAAAAAATAATATGTTATAAAATGATAATGGTAAAATAAAAATCGCAGACCTTTATCATTATCAACGAGCAGTTCATTGGTGGCGTCCGATGCCTTGGATCCCAAACTCGGGTCTCTCTCGGACTTTATAAAACATTGAATAAAATCGCTGTAACCCCCGCCCGAATGGCGTTCCCTATCTGCCAATACTCGCCGAACGAAGTCCATGTAAAACACGTTAAACGGTTTGGTTTTCATGTGGACGACGCCGACCATCTCGAGCACCCATTTCCATACGACCTGTAGTGTACGGCCGCGCACGTAGTCCGTGTTGAACGCCATGCTGTAGTTACGCATAAACGCGTTGTTGGCTCCGGGGTCACTTTGGGCGCCACATTTCACGCTGAACCCCGTGCTTACCAAAGCGTCCATGGCGAATTTTTCAAATATCGGTACTAGGTCAATTGGGGCGCCACCGGTAGCGTTAAGCGAGCGCACGAGTTCGCGAACGCAGTCGGTCAGAGTGGGGTACAGGTGCCGTAGTTTGGCACCGGTAAACATGGCCGACCACACGGCGCGCATTCGCCGCCAGTCGGCGCCGTGCGCTTCGCCCAAGTGTTCGTCGCCGGTGATGGGGTGCGGACCCGGTGTTTGGTACCGATCGGCGAATACACCAAAATCTTTGACCAGAATTTGTTTGACAAGCGCCGGGTCGGCCACCGTAAGCACCGGTTTGTTGCCGTCGAATATACTGTATTCATATTAATGGGTCATACAATAAGTACGTAAAAACCGTGTTGGGTGGGAAAGTGGGTAGAAAT